TGTAAGGGTTCGTGCACAGAGGGGATTGTCGGGAAAGAGATGGCTGTTTGAGGAAGCTCCCATTTATTAACATTTCAACAAACAAGTTGCATATTTGCATAACGTATTCAAGTGCTATCATTTAGTGCAATAGTAGCTACAGAACATGTACTGTGCTGTGTAAACTGTACTGTATCACATAGCGTTTTAGACACACAAACTTTTCAACTTTCAAACTTAAACGGTGCGCTCCCAGCGCACGTACCGGCAGTGATCTACAGCAGTGGTTTTCAACCAGTGGTACGGGGACAAACTGTCTCGCTCTTAATGTCTGTCTGTCTTGCTCTCGTTCTGTCTCTCGTACCACTCTCGGTTCCACTTTTACTTTTGCGCGCTACCTGTCTCACTCTTTTCCGGCCTCCAGCTTTTCCTGCTGGAGCCCGCCGCTTAAAGGTGGGGGGCGCGGACCGCCCATAGAGCCCATAGAGTTAAAGGTGGTGGACTGTAACCTGTAAAATCCATAGATTTAGGAGGTCCCCTAGTGGCCGTTAGCTGTAAAAATCCATAGATTAGCCGCACCGTTATATAAGCCGCAGGGTCGAAAAATGGGGAAAAAGGAGCGGCTTATAGTCCGAAAATTACGGTAAATGTGTTCTAGGGATAAAAAAAAAAAAGGAAATCAATAAAATGCTTGACCATTATATTTATAGCAACGGTAATTTTAACAATATACAATTCCAGTAGAGCTGCAAAGATATGTAAATTGCTTAAACAATTTATGATGAGGTTCAATAAAGTAGCAGATTTAAATAGATGAAAATATTCAAACCTTGCGGCTTTAAATGTCAGGCCAATCTAGAACTTGTAAAATATTTTTTGAAGTTGGTTTATGTCAGAGAGAGAATGGTAAGGAGTCAAGCTATGAATTAAATTAACTAAAACCAAAGTTCTCAATTTCATTTTTTCTTCATCAGATTTCTGTCTGCTTATGCTATGGCAAAATAGGTTTTCGGCTTGTAACCCAAAAAATAGCCTTTTACTCATTTGGATTCAAATGTAGCACATGGAAGAAAGTCTCCAACTCAGTCTTGAGCATTTTTATGACAGTAACACGCAACAGTCTCTAGTTCAATGTTCTTAACTTACCGTCTTTGTAAAGGTTTGGCACTTTGGCGTGTCTGAACTGCGCAGCGATGTCTGGGTTCCAGAGCAGCCGCTGGAGGATGAACATGGCCAGACCCAACGCGTCGCTGTTGCTCTCCAGGGAGATCAGCTCCCCGAAGATCGTCTGTGGGAGAAACATTTGTGTTAAGCAACTTTTGCATGGATAGCGAAGAAACTTGCAAGATTGTCTTGGGGGGAAAAAACTGAGGGAAAATATTTGTATCATAATACCTCGAGCCCAATCCGTAACCACAGCGGATTGTATGAAATAAGCCAGTTGAGCACTTTTCGCCGTTCACCTGAAATATGGCAAAAACAAGGAAATATAGTTACAAATCACAGAGTTTCACAGAGCAAAACTTCAGCAGATATTTATTTGCTAATGATACAGCAAAAACGTCTTCCACTTGTGTGAGAAAAGGGAACTAAAACTTGACTGATAAGCCCCCTCAGTAAATAATGCTCAGGTACCTATGTCCTTCCAAAGATGGCGGTCTTTCCGGACCAGCAGCCTCTTGGCCTCCACCTCAATTTCCAACTTCTGAATGGCCTTGACCATGGCCTCAGAAGTGAACAGCTGACAGGCAGAGCGACGGAGGCGGTTCAGCTTCCGCCGGGCCGTGTAGGTGCTGAAAGACATCTCCTCGTTGGTGGGAGCTTTGGGAATGCTGTACTTATCATCGCTGCCAATGGCAATGGACACAGCATTAACTACAGAGGAAACAAATAGAAAAGTGTTTAGTAATCACCATGTGCAATTATCTTGGGCTGAGATAGTCCTATATAGAAATATTCCACTGCGACGATAACTGCACTTAAATTGTTACGCCAGGGGTGTCCAAACTAAGACCCGGGGGCCAAATGTGGCCCATTTTGAATCGGCCCTCAGCTAATTTGTGGGCCGTATAATGTAATACGGCCCACAAATGAAACATGTGCTTGTCTTATATTGTACATCTTAAATATATATATTACACAGTAGTATTCATGTGTTAATAAGCCCACTTTTCAAATAAATTCAGTCAATTAAAGTTGGGAACATTTTCTAACAAATCTTAGTTGATAAGAAAAAAAGGCCCAATAATTTATTTACCTAACAAGCTTGAAATATACCACTTAATATTTGCCCTTATTATAAGCAATCTGAGGCTTCTTTTTTGAGGGAATGAGCTGCCAACAAATTAAATGAAACCCTATGGAGAGCTGTGATATAGGCTGTTTTTTTCTTAAGGCATTTTTAAGTATCAAGCTATAACTTACCTACATTTGATAAAGTATGCTAACTTATAACTTAACTTATGAGGCAATATACCTCATCTCTAGCAAGTGGCCCAGCCCTTCGTATATTTTTCTGTATGTGGCCCTCGGTGAAAAAAGTTTGGACACCCCTGCCTTACACTATAGATAAGTTTCTTTTTGGATATTGGTGTAGTGTCTAATTAAATTAATAATGTAGAACAATTGAGTAATGAAAGAGCATCGAAATGGAGTTTTTCTTCCAAGAAAAACTAGAACATTGGTAGTTTCGGTTAATGTACAAAAATATTTTTACATTCTAATGACAAAGCTCTCAATTTTACCCCTAACACATGTGGTTATTAGTAACCAGCGCCACAAAGGTATAATTAATTCTAACCACTGTGATAAACACATTCAGAAAGACTGTGATTTTACCCTCAGGGATTTTCATACTTGTTTGAAAAAGCGTATTACAGTAACTGCACAACTGCACTTTAAATTGTAACTTTTTTTTCTTTCATATTGGTGCCTTTGTGTTCAGTTCACCATTCAATCAAATAATGTTGATCCTTATTTCTTTTATTTTATTGTTACCCAATAATCACCAAAGCTAACACATTTCAGATTTGACCCAAACCATGATCTTTTCCTAAAGTCTACATTGACATAAGCCAAACAAATCAGATTTGGTGCGGAGGCCATTACACAGCTGTTACTGTAAATGTTCATTTGTGAGCCACTGCCAGTTCACTCACTGCAGCTCAAGAACCATTCAGATAATAATGTCTGCGCCAAATGGGGGATCTTATGAGTTGAAGTGGGTGAATATCAAGCTCTTCATGGCAGGAAGCTAGACAAAACGTGCAGCCCAGAAGACACTATTGTTGAACTGCAGGTCGCTGTATTCACGGGTAAGCCATGCGTCTGGAAGATTATTTAAGTTGATAGGAATTGACTCATTATTACTTTTGTCTTGAATAAGTCAGTAGTCTTGTAGAAAGGAAACAAACAGTATTCGTAATCACAGTTTAGAAAGATAGGGGAAGAGTGGTATACTGTCAGGGGTAAAAAAAAGAACTCTAAACTAGGACATTAGCAGCTCTAAAATGATGGTTGTCAGGGAAATGTTTTTCTCCATCTACGTTCAACATTTATAGATTTACATTTTAGGCCATGCATGCTATAAGACGTTTATTGAGAATGATGACTGAAACCAACCTGGTTTAGGTTGAATGTACGACTGCAATGCTCATTAAATCCAATTGTCAGGTCACGGAGATGTACAGAGGATTCGGAAAGTAGAATGTTGGCCAGATCAGTAGATTTGCTGAAAATTCATGAGCAGATATTGTTGGGTTGCAATCCTCAGATTTAAAGTGGCACCATAGTCGAGTTTAGGTCTAAAATATTTCAAGTTTAAGCTTCACTTCCAAAAAAATTAATCAGCTGCAAATCTGCCCAAGACAGCCATTATCAAACAGATACATGAACACATTCATGTTTAAAGCCAAACTTATATTTATGTATAAAGCATACTGTTCAGATTCATACTCTGATTTATTTGAGGATGGGGATACACAAACATACATGAAAGCAGACCACCATTAATTCTAGTACTGGGTAAGAAGAAGCAATGGTCAAAATTAATTATTCATTCTCAGAGATGTGGTGGAGCGGAGAACAACGCAGGGAAAAAGTTCAACGGAAGGAAAGAAAGTGCGAGTCCCGAGTCTCCGAGGTGTGTGTGACAAAACTGACTTGTACCTGACCTCAGATTCCTCTGCTCACAGCCAGCAGCAGGGAGAAAGATGGGACAAAAAAGAGATGCATGACACACTCCAAAGTGTTACACTGACAGAACAACCTGCCGGTGTGACCCAGTGTGAGGCAGGAGGCATAACACTGCCAGCGATGACAGACAGGGGATGTTGACTAACCAGGGTGTTACACCTTGCCTGACGTGTGCATGCAAACAAGTAAACACGGGGAAATACTGCAGAGAGAGCTGTAATCACCCAATCAATTGCAGACACACACAAATATATGCATACTCAAACAAAAAGCAGCCAACCCCGAAGATGCCATCCAGCTGCTATTATCAGCCTCAAACAGTGATGGATGTGTGTTCTTAGTCTCAGTCCAGTGCGTTTTAGCTAAAAGGACAATCTTGGTGTCTTCCTGGTTCACAGGCCCAGCAGTATGCCGTCTCTCAGCTGGAGGGCTGATCAGCTTCCAGTATTAACATATCTCCGGGTTTGACCTTGCCTAAACATTGTATAGCAACTCACAGAAGCAGCAGGATGGACGAAAGGATATTAATGAGGACAATATGCAAAGAAAAGAGATACTAATTAAGCATGCGATTTGAACCTGTCCCAGTGAGGGGATTTATTGGCATTCACACTCTCCATCTTTGATCCTAAATGTTACAATCTCACTTTCACTCTCATGACACTGCCTCTGTCCAGTTCTGCGTGTTTGCAACAAAAACAAAAGCAGCTGAACGAGAAAAGAAGTAGGGCGTAGAGCTAACCCAGCTGCCTAGCCAGGCATTCCTTATTCCTTTGGCTTTTAATGCCAGCTTTTATAAAATATGCATGGCGTGGCGTGGAGGGGAGCTACTTAACGTGGACTACTTTATGTGCCCATGGTCTGCGTTGATGTCATGGTCCGTATGTGTGTGTGTGTGTGTGTGTGTGTGTGTGTGTGTGTGTGTGTGTGTGTGTGTGTGTGTGTGTGTGTGTGTGTGTGTGTGTGTGTGTGTGTGTGTAGTACAGAGTGCAGATAATGGAGTCCTCTTTAATGGGCTGGAGAGCAGGACAATCTCCCCGATGCCCTTATGGACAGTTTTAGGCTGTGTCTCCATTTACATACACCGAGGTTGCAATAGAGGATGTAAAACGGAAGTGCAGTTCCCATAGGAGGAAGACATGTAGTAATTTGAGGTCAACTAGGATGAATAATACATGTAGAAATATATTGCGTATCCTAATGGTGCATTTGTTTGTGGTTAAAAGACATCACTTCGCACATTAGCTGATGTGGTCATAAGATTTGTTCGCAATTTAAATGATCACAATGCACTCGTGCCATAAAAGTAATACTAATCTTGACTATCGGTTAAAAATATTACCCAGCTAGCGGGGAACGTTCTCACGACTTTGGCTAACGTTACCTATTGGTTCTAACAAGGTTTTAAAGAAACGTTTTAATCTGATGTTCAAAGAACCTTTTTAGGATGTTTATTTGTTCAAATAATGTTCCTATAAGGTTAACTAAGACATAACGTTTTAATTGCAACATTCAGAGGGTGATTTGAGGATGTTATTAAGACCTGAGATGACAGAAAGTTTTTTTATAAAACGTTCCTTTAATGTGATATGTTAACAAAGGTGGAACGTTTTGCCTGCAACATTCTAAGGATGTGTTTTGGACGTTGTTGGGTATCATATTAAAGATGTTATTTATAAAACGTTACCTCAATGTTACATGATAACAAATGAAGAACATTTTCAAAGCAACATTCTGAATTTGTTTTCACGATGTTATTGAGGCCTGAGATGAGAGAAAGGGTTGTATAAAATGTTCCCTCAATGTTACATGATAACAAATGAAGAACATTCTCCAAGAAACATTCTGAAAATGTTTTCAGGATGTTATTGAGACCTGAGATGACAAAAAGTGTTTTATAAAATGTTCCTTTAATGTGATATGTTAACAAAGGTGGAACGTTTTGCCTGCAACATTCTAAAGACGTGTTTTGGACGTTGTTGGGTATCACATTAAAGATGTTCTTTATAAAACATTCCCTCAATGTTACATGATAACAAATGAAGAACATTTTCAAAGCAACATTCTGAAAATGTTTTCAGGATGTTATTGAGGCCTGAGATGAGAGAAAGGGTTGTATAAAATGT